AGACTGCTGCACACCTTTCACGCGTCGTGTGTGACGACGGTGGACGACGAGAAGATAAAAAAAACATGGAGGTAAAAAAAAACGAACGAAGAAGCGAGCGCACGTGACGCGCTGTGTGTGTATGTGTGTATAACGTACGGAAACTCGGACAATATTTACAGTACAGTATGAAGTACCATATGAAGCTATTTATCGGGTGGAACTGGATACAAATAAGCCTCATTTGCACAAGAAAAAGCTCCGCGTTCGCTCGCGTTGATCGTGTAGAATACACTATATGTATGCATAGAGAGGTACAATTGCGAGAGAGAGAGAGAGAAAAATAGAGAGGAGGTAAGAGAGGGAGGACAAACAAACGCATATATACATAAGCAAACGCAGCGGAACAAAAAAAACAATAAATCGTGAAGCGAAATGAGCAAATTCTCGACTCGAGTGTTTGTTTCCACGTATATATACCTGTGCGACTGTATGGCTCGTGTTTGTGTGTATTTGTGTGTGTGCGAGTGGGCACACGCTCCATGTAGATGAGATTATTACCGGCCTCGTGTTTTTTCATTGTGAGATCGAGAGCAATTTAGAAGATAATTGCGAAAAGATCCGCAGCTATTCTTGTACTGTATAGTGCACATGTACGCGGGGGGCAAACGCGAGACTCGGTATATACATCACGCATTTTCGTATGCATTATACCGCAACAACAACAACAACATACGTGTATAATAAGTATACACGTACAAGGAGGATTTACATTACAAGCTCATTAGCTCGACGATTTCGGCGTTAAATCGACTCAATTGCCGAGACTTAAAAAGTCTTTCGTTAACTTTAAAGACTGACATGGTAACCTCTCGTTTGTGTGTGTGTCTGATACATCTTACATGCGCGAAATCTACTGAAAAAGAGGGTGTCGTATTTCCCATGCGAAGGCCCTCATACACACATTCGCGACTATACTATCCACTGCCATCGACGGTAGTGGTGAACGTACGAATTTTTCGTACGTTGTATATGTGTATACCACCGCGGTATTACGCCAGGACTCTCTCGCGGGCTCGGGTTCGAATTAAAATTACACGAATTCGCGCCGAGCCGTTTAAATTACGCAATTTTTTCTCTCTCTCTCTCGAGCTGCTACTCGGAGTCTTCCGCGTGTTTATAAATAAGAATTCCTTTTCGTTAACTATATAGAAGGAGAGAACTGCTGTCTGTTGCGCGCATGCAAATGCCATCGTGCAATTGGCCTACGTCGTTTATCATTACGTGTTATTTAAGCGAGCGATAATAAATACCGGGTGCTCCGAGCGTTGACAGGCACCGATATTAAAAAAAAGGAGGAGGAGGAGGAGGTGGGAGAGAAAGGAAAGAAATTGTTATCTGCTAATTCTACATCCGCGGCGGCGCGCAGTGATTATGTCCTTAAAAAAACGGCGGCAGCAGCAGCAGCTCGGAGCTGCACAGACACACAGAGGTGAAAGTTTTTTTCTTTTTTTTTTTTCTTGTGCTGTGTTTCCTAATTTTTTTCAACTCGGCCTGTGTTATTCTTCTTCCCGATGGTGACGACGACGACTGTAATATGAAATACTTCCTGGATCGCAGGACGCGAGCGATTATTAATTAGATTTTCTTCGGAAATCGTTATCACCGCTCGCGCGCCCATGTATGCTTTTGTTGAAGGGGTTGGTGACTTATCGAGCACTTAAATGTAACAATAACATATCCAATAGCTCTTGAGTTTCGTCGATCGGTACAAGATTGGTACGAAACTTTCTAAATAGCGATGCGCGATGATGTATCATTATTTTATTATAAAAACACAGATATTCGCGCCCGATACAGCGTACAAGAAAATACGTACGGTGGAGAGTTTGAAACAAAAAAAAAAATCGGCATCGCATTGTGCGCGGAGATAACGATCTTTATAAGCGCGAATAAAAATCGCGTACACCTCACCGCGCGTAGGACCTTCTAGACACACGCGCATGTTAATTAACAGCTCGTATATATACAAGTACACACGTGTGTACGATACAATAAATAGTGCAGAATTGTGCAAGCTCGAATTCCTGCGATTTTCGGCGTGTATTCAAGCAGCGGTCTTAAAACTTGCGAAACAATTTCTCCTTCGCTACTCTGTCTCGTTCTTTATTTTCACTTTTCTTTCTTGCTGATACACAGACAGACAGACAGACGGACACGAGCACACACGTGTATATCAGCAATTATTCGATGTGTATTATATATATATAGCTGCCGATACACATACCGATTCGTTCGCGTGCTCCTATATATATAAGTAGCCCACAGCTATGCGTATTGCGGTGAGTGTTTTGTAGCGGTAGTAGTAGGTATATGCCGCAATTCGCTTGCAATGTGCCTCGCATAGTATAGGTATTATAAAATTTTTCGTTCGGATTCGAGCTTATACACAAATACAGACGCACATACATATACGTATACTTTCACTTATACGGCATGCCGCTCGCGGGTATATCGACGCCGCCGCCGCATAGAGCATATAAATATACTTATCGCTGAGGCATGCTCAGCGCAGAGCAGCCTCGACATCCATTTGTGCGCTTTTATAAATGCATATGATATTAATAATATAATAATACACACCGGTTGATTTGAGAAAAATCGGTAAGCTATTACGCCTAGGTGTTACGTTAAGCTGAAGCTGCTGCGGATGAGACGATCGCGAGAAAAGATGCTATACATGTAATTATATCGCCCCGCACAAGCTCACCTCACCTCACCACCGCAGCAGCAGCGAAAGCACGCGGCGCTACTCCGCTCTTATCGATTCTCTCTCCTCTCTCCCCCAGCGCGAAAAAGGCTAAATAGGTGTCTGTATTTTCCTTTGGCGTGCAAATATATATACACACACACACACACACACACTGCACAGCCGGATTATGTACCATTACGTGCGGTAGTGTGGTTTATAGTGTATACGAAGCGCAAAGCCGACGATTTATATTTATATATAGCGCCTAGCATTTAACCGAATCTTGATTGTATTACGTGTTTTAAAACACGCCGCCGCCGTCGCGCTGACTTATATACTGCAGTATCATCGTGGTGTTGTTGTTGTGCTGCGCTTCGCTCGCCGAGCTCTCTTCGCGCGGGGCCTTTTGTTATTATGTAAAACCCCCCTGAACCGATGTATATATACACGAATATAAATACACGTTGCCACTGCTTCTGTTGTATATTATATAGCTGCTCGATTTTTCGGTAGTGTCAAAATCCGGTGTGCTTTCGCACGTATACCTATACATCTATGGGATATAAAATGCCGTTGCCCAATATCGATCGGATCGGAGCGTCGAAAGAATATCGTTATTACTAAAAGGCCGAGCGAGACGCATAAATGTGGCACAATTATAAGGCTTATATACCGCGTGTATATTATAACTTTCAAAATAACGCGAGTACGCATACACATTTGTATTATTGTAAGCTCGTTATTCTTTACACACCGAAGGGTATCTCGAACGTAATATGCCTTGTATTGCGCGATAGGCATTGGCATTTGAATTCGATTCACATAGACACATCGGCGCAGGTAGCCGATGTGTGTAATATCGTAATTATATGTGAAATTCGCCTCACGCGCGCGTGATCAATTGAAATAATATAATATACGTATTGCCCGTACGTCGAAAGTATATATATATATCGTATCGATCGCGCGCGTAGATGGGAAATTTCAGCGATCGATCGCGTGGAATTAATTTTATTTTATTTTTTTTTTTTTTTGGGCTTTTTTAAAGATCTACGTCTACGATCGCAGCGAAAAAAGCCAAAAAATTGATTTTTTTTCTCCTCTTTCGTTCACGAATCGCTAATTATTCATGCGTGAATTTTTCGAGTCGTACAGTCGGTGCGTAGTACGTATAAATTCGAAATATATATCGCCCAAAAAAAAAAACGAAGAAGATCCTCAAGAAGCAGAAGAAGGAAAAATAAACCCGTTATGGTAATTCACGCGTATATTTCGTACACATACCTGCTGCTGTACGCATTTAATGTCCAAAACACGCATTGACAGTGCGACGTCGATAATATACGATATTATATATATACGCGCGTATTATTTTCGTCGATGAACGTCGCGTATCCGCGCAGTCGAACTCAGGGCAGCAATGATAATTATACATGTAGGGTCAACGACAATCAAATCGAATCGGTTATAATATTAACGTACTGCAATTGTATATATCGAGTCAACGCGGCGACTGACGCCTCCTTCGACCGATTATTTAATAATCCCTCCGCTTTTTGAATGCGTATATAATATACAATTGTTCGGGAACGCGTATACGCGTTTCGAAATATATATAGCACCCGAGTTGCGGTGCGCGCGGCGGCTCGCGAGCGCAATTTGAATAAAATGTATATATACATAACTTTATGCATGCGCGTCCTTGCTTCACGCTCTGTATAATACAACAATAATCTCGTCTTCGTTATAATACGTATGTGTGTGTGTAAGTGTCTTTCGAATATTCTCATGACTCGCAACATCCTCCTCGCAGCGAGCTCACGACGACGCTCGACGCTCGACAACGAAATAATCGTGCGGCTCGAGGCGCGTATACAGTATATATATATTGTATGCCTCGAAGCCAATTGCGCGCCCATGATGCCTGTTACCTGCGCGATGTGTCTCTCTCTCTCTCTCACTTGGCTCGAGAGAGTCAACGCAGCAGTGGCAGCAGCGGCAGAAACAAACAAAAAAAAAACAAGTAAAAAAAATGCAGTCCACGCTCTCTCTGTATACATACACCTTGGAAAAAGGATCGAGTCCGTGCGCGAAATATAACATCCGGTTTCGGCTTCTCTCGCTCGCTTTGACGTCGTATGCACACCATGCGCACTGCAGGCGCGCTGACATTACACACACACACACACACACACACACACACACACACACACACACACTCACTTATAAAGAGATAAGCGTGTAATGTATAAAATATAATATTATGCACCTTGTCGTTGGGCGAGTACTGGTCGATCGGTAAGGCTGGCGCAGGCGACGACGAGGAGCGCCAGGAGGCCACGTGCAGCCAGGCTCATCGTATTTTCAGCATTCGCCACTTTTGCGCCGCTCTGTGTCGAGATTTTTTTTTTTTGACTACTCTATATTCTATTCGTTCCCTTTTTTGTTGTTCCTTTCTTTTGGTTCTGGCAAAATTTATCGCAAGATATCATAAGCTGGATTGATGTGCACCAGCAGCTCGTGGTCGTCCTCGTCGCTGCTGTTGCCGATGACGATGATTAACGATCTCGATTGCCGATCTCAGCCGACGATCGGGCATGATTATCGGCCACGACCACGTTGAATTTTCACCACCGAGTGACGACTCATTTGTCACGAACGAAATTATTTACAACACTTTCACACACGCACGCACGCACACGCACGCACACAAACACACACACCTGCGCGTCTTACACACACACTACTCCGTCACTGCACACGCGCGATTATAAAATGCCGAAATTACAATCGTTTAAAAATTTGTATATTATTTAAGAAAAATATGTGCGTGCGTTTTATACGGAGAGAGAGAGACGCTCTCGAGCGAGCGAGCGAGCGAGCACCGTCCTAACGAGTGGCCACGAGTCGACTGTCCTCGCGCACGGGGGGGACTCAGTGCCAAAGCCCCCGCAGATATATAGAAAGCAAGAGCGAGCTGCAGAGAGGCTCCGACTTCTGAAGACTTCGCCTCCTTGCTTATACGCTGGCTTTTGCAAAGGTGTGCGTCCGTGTGCCTGTGTGTAAATGTGTGTGTGCGAGCGCAAAGTCTCGAGACTTTCACCTTCCTCGCTCGATCGTGGGCCCAACAGCAGTCAGCGCACACACATATATACACAGGCACAAAGACACACACAGACACTCCGCGTATACATACATGTGTATATAATATAAGTTGGTAAGCGCGAGTATTATGAGCAAGGCCCCTTCTCGGCACGCCGAGGCCGCCACGGCTCGGGTCTCTCTCTGCATTGGCATATACACACACACACACACACACATAAAATGAGTACGTATATGTATGTACGGGTTTAAGTTTGCAAAGTTGGTGAACGGTTTATAGGTACTACTACTACTACTACAATACACCTATCCTTAGTACATAGTAATACCGGGCGGCGGGGAGTGTTTCGCGGCTGTATATATGCCTCTCTCGCCGAACGAATTGCTGCGCGGGAGGAGGAGGACTCGGCCGCGTGCAGTTTATATATACAATATATAATGAATAAGTGAGTTTTGAAGGATGGGCGCCGTGCAGCGATCGTCGTCGTGCGCCGCGGCGCAGGTACAATACTACATGTAAAATGAAGAAAATCGCGATCGATCCTCTCTCTCTCTGATGATGTTGGTGGCGGTGGAGGTGCATCATTTTTTTTCATAGCGCGCAATTGGGGATCGGCCTGCATTACTATCCTACATTCATGCATTATTTTCCTTTTGCTTCTTCTCTCTCTTGTTTTTTTTCTTTTCTTTATTATGTATATGGGCCTAGCGCCGATCTCCTCTCCGCGCGCCACGCCGCTATCGCTATGGTACATCGCTCGCGCGTGTGTATTTATAAACGAGCGCGTCCTTGCCTCGTCGCACGCCTCGACGATTTCGTATTTGTATCCCATATAGATACTTTCGATTCCAAGTGCATATATGTGGGTCTCTCCGCGATGCATATCCTGGTTCGCTGCCTCGCGCGCGCGAGAAACGTGTCCAGAAAACCTGGCCGATCTATACCGGCTATTATGCATTCCTCAAATTGATAAGTGTGTGTCTGCGTGTGCTGCAGCACAATATTCAAGTGCAGCTGCATGAGCGGCAAAATTATTTTCCCCCCTATTGTCTCTCTGTGTCTTTCACATACCGTGCCTATAATATGAACTTTCGCTCGATACGGTGCAACACAATATAAGCTGGATAACACGTAAAACGTCCGTATATACCCACGCGGTTTTTATTACCGATCGAAATTTATGACTGCATCGCTATATATATTATTGTTATTGTTATAATTCGAAATGCGCGGCGCGAGCGAGCTTAATTTTTTTTCTTCGTTATTATATTGCTCCTGGTGCTGCTGCGCGATCGACTTGTCTACGAAGTGCTATACTATACGTACATAATCGGTATATATATGTGTGTGTGTATGTAACTGCGGCGCTCGAAAGGAATTTTCACTTCGATCGGTATGCATCGTATTTTTGCGAGTGTAAGCATGCAATGCTCCGCACACTCGAGTGCATGTATACCATCTACCACTACTATAATATAGGTGGAAAGTTGTGCTCTCTTCTTCGTTCACCTGCTGACAGCAGCAGCAGCAGCAGACTCCGATTCATTCGGTGCGACGTCGTACACATATATACATTGACTTTTTGACAAGAGTGTATAGAATTGGAAAATGTATGGATTTATTTATTTTTATCGATTTCGTCGCACCCATGCCGCGGACGGCTTTACGACGTGTCACGCGTTTAAACTTCCATCGACTCGATCTAAAAATCTGCGATCGGCGTTAAATTCTTTATTTATACTTATTTTACACCGCGAGTAATTCGATAATCGCTGCACAGCATGCAAATGATCGGTATACATACACATACAAGGTGCACTTTTTGTGCCCGCACTCATCGAAGGAGGCAGTGAAAGCATCATTAGACACACGATAATGAATCGAGTAGCTGCGTTGCGATATTCCTTGTGCACACATATACTATATAGACGAAAACACACGGCAGTCACGCTCTCGGGGATATAATCTGTTTTTCTGCGCGCCGCGAGAATATCGCTCTCGTATATATATGGTCCATTTATGTATAACTAGAAAGTTATGTGCCTTGTAAATGTAACATTAACGTGTGTATATATGCTACGATACGTACGTATACGTGTGTGCCCGATGTATTTTCGCATTTTATAAACCGTATCGTTTTTTTTCTTTCTTTCTTTCAACCTCGTAGTACGTCTGACACACATTTTCTTCCGCTCGCCGCGGTATACATAGTGTACGTACGAATTATGGTCTATGTATGCATTATGCATACACACACACATGCATGCACGAAAATGTCTAATAACTTTTTTGCCTCGTACCGTATATTTTCGGTTTATTTGGCATCGACGTCTCGAGTCTATGTGTACGCGACGAGAGATATCGATCGAAATTTTCCAGTTTAATACGTACTACAGGCTGCGGCGTATAGAAAATTTTTCGCGCGAAATTACAAAATCAAACGATAATAATAATATAATAACAAGCTGGCGTGTACACGCTGCATTTATAAATACCGTATAGCGTGTCTCCCAGGCGAAGGGAGGCACATCCAATTTGGAGGCATTCGCGAAATTTTTTGCGCAATCTCGCTTCGCTCGATTTTTCGGTTACTTGCATACATATGGCAGAGATTCGACGTCTCTCCTTCATTTTTCTTATTTATAATGCCAACAGCCCTCTTGATGATGATAAAATCTATTTTACCACATTTTCGCTAAAAGTACCTGTTCCAGCGTGAGATTCGCTCTTTACATATTTCAGACATTTTAGAAAAAAAATATTTGCTAACTTTTATTTGTCTAAAAAAATACGATAGAGTAAATACGCAAGTACACGAGGCGCGTGCAGCCAATTTCTCCATCGTCGTCGTCGTCGACTATAGAGTCAAAGAGGAGAAGCGATGAGCAAAAAAAAAAAAAAAATAAAGTCACTTCAGTAACGCACTTGCACTCTCTATATTTATAATATGCATCCGCGCGACGATTTCACCGCGCGCAATAGAAAAGCGCGGTAAACTCTCGCGCGCGTCGCCTGGGTATATATCTAACTAATCGTCGCGATAATTAGCCAATTGCGCGCGCGCGCGCGTCGGTCTCTTATTATTTTGCATCTATCGGGCCGCGCGCACGTGAATATTTAAATTTTTTTCACGAAAGTGACTCTCTGTCTGCGTTATTACGTTTCGCCGCAATCGAATACATTATAAAGTTTCAAATTGTTTCGACGTTATTCACGCAGTCGTATCGCGGGTACGTATAGATTATAATCTCTCTCTCTCTCTCGAAACGCACATATGTATGAATGTGTGTAGCCCATATCGACCGCAATTTTCATCATACTCGATAAATATAAATTCACGTAATAATAATGGTCGCGCGCGCGAGATGAAAGGAGCAAAAAGAAAAAAAAAATAGCGCGCGGTATGCACGTTTCGCGAGTTCATATAAACACGTGCCGATTAAATCACGCGCGCGCACGAGTTTTTCTAGTTTTCCATGTAGGCATCTGTGTATAGCTGCTTTTTAAGCTCGCGTCGAACCGGCTCTCGTTTTCCCTCTCGACGTATTTATTTGGAAAATATATATCTCGTGCACCGGTGTGTTTCTCGCGAGAAGTCGACTTCGTACACTTGTATTAATAACACAGATAGACGAGTTTTACGCGCGCCTATGGACTACTAGCTCGCAGAAAATTGAATGGCGAATTAAAGCTTAGAGCGGCAACAGGTCTCGTGAAATGCGTGCGTGCGTATTTTTTGCCACTCGCGTCATCTCTATATAATACGCTGCACTGCAGAGCTCTTATAAGCCCCTCGATGGAATGTTTCCTTCGACTCTCATAGCCGAGGCATTTTAAAAAGGCGTGATCGCAGTGCGCGAAGTAAGCATTCCGTTGTCTTGTCGCACTTTCTATAAGCTGCCGCTGCTGCTGCTTGAGAGACAGAACCTCCCCCACGTGTGTCGTTGCTGTTGCTGCAGTTTGTATGCAACGTATATAATATATGGGAAAGATGGCGTGCTAACTCGAATGACAATTCAATATGTAATTTTGCCAAGTTGTATATAAAGTCTCTGTTGTACGTGTGTCTGTATTTATATCTCGCTCGCGCGCGCGCCTTTTGTATTATGTATAAACACGCGCTACTCTCAAAGCCCTCCCCGACATGAGAATGTAACACTTTATATTTATCCAAGCGCGAGCAGCGGCAAAGCCAACAAACATTCGAAAGGTGGATAGGTTAAATGGCAATTGGACGCGCGCGTTTCAAAGTCGAGAAGTACACAGCTACGAGAAAAAACCATTTTAATTGCTCGCGATGCGGGTGGGGTGAAAGAAAATGCGCGCGAGAGAGAGAGAGCCTTGAGAAGTAACAATTCAACCGTATAATAAAGCTCGACTGTACCCGTTAGCTATGTATGATAGTTGAATAGTTCTTCCTTTCGAAAGAAAAAAAAAACAAGAATGTGAGAGAGAAAGAGAGAGAAAATTATCGAGCATTTTGACATCGAGCAGCTTCTGATTGCGTGCATAAAGATACAAAAATCTTCAATATTCTAGGCTAAGGTCGCGATTGAAATTTTCGACGCTTAGACGCGTACAGTGGACGTTGATGATTGTTCATTGAAGTTCTAGCAATGTAGACAAATTCGTTAATAACAAAAATTTTAGTAAGTACTTTGTACCTACTAAATTTTTCTAATCAATTTAATTCGCATTTCTTATGAAAAAATCTATTAAGTCCGCAATGTAGATTTCTGAATAGCATTTAAAACAACAAGCGTGACGTCACAATCCTAGTAAATTTAACGGAAAGCGTCCTATGATTGTGACGTCACGCTCATTTTTAACTGATCATACCTCTGTTAGTGATTGATTAATTGAAAAACAAAAAATATACGTGTCTAATGATTTTCAGAAATCTACATTGCATAAGAAATGCGAATTCAAACTACACTCAAAGATTCACGAAGAGGATCGAAGGTCACAGAATTCTGTACACATATTTTCTGTTGTTTACTTCGTGAGTCGCGCGCGTGACCTCTCGAACGTACTACTGCCTGGCCCAATAGATTGCGCCTCGTGCAGTAGCGCTGCGGCCTAAATGTACACCATATCGTGGAGGGCTGTGCGCGAAACTGGTCGAACTGTGAATGTGTGGCACTCTTCGCCGGTCTTTCGTGTTTAGTTAGTTTGGTGTGCGAAATCATCATAAAAATATCAATTGCAAACGACATTACAAGTGATAAGGATGGAATCGAGTGATATAAGTGATTGTGCTCCGAGGTAAGTTTCGTTTGATGAGAATGAAATTATAAAAACATCTCAACGAAATACTTAACCTAATTGGGGTTATTTCAGGGTGAAGGAGGAGCCTCGCGATGAAATGATGGACGAGAAACCCGATTTGAAGAACTTTCCACTTTTACCCTTTCCGCGAGAAAATTCGGTAAGAGTTAATTATCGTATGTAATTCGTAATATTCTATAATAAAAATTCTCACGTAGCCTTTATTTTTCGACAGACTCACAGCTTCCAAAAATGTGACGAAAATCATCAACATAGACTTCTAGACGGAGTGGAAGTAGTTATTGAATGTGAATATGCGAAGCCCAACATTAAATCATTAGCAGTTGACAAAATTGAGGAAGATTCCCTAAATAACTTAAGGAATGCACAAGGTAGCAATGATTATCAAAATCAAAACACAATTAAAATAGAATCAGCGGAAGAAGTGAAACACGAATATATTTGTGATACTAAAGAACACTTTAATTTAAATCTTGACTGTAAGCTAAATTACGATATGGATATAGTTTTTGAATGTGAAGATGTCAAGCCCAATATGGATTATCCAGTAATTAAACAAATTGGAGATGGTTATAAAAACCAAAACGAAATTAAAATAGGGACCTCGGGGAAAGTGAAACATGAATTTGTTGGCGACGCTGCAGAAGATTCGAATTTGAATATCGACTGTGAAATTGCCCAAGAAAATAAAAAAAGAAGAATCACAAAAAAGTTTAACAACGCACAAACGTCTCACGCATGCGAAATATGCGGAAAGAAATATTCAAATAAGGCTAACGTGAATTTGCACATTAAATCATCCCATCGAGGTATTATTCACCCGTGTGATCTATGTGGTAAGACGTATTCGCGAAAAGGTAATCTCAAATCTCACATTAGCGCCGTACACAATGGTACCAAGCACAAATGTGATATTTGCGGCAAGACATTTTCACAAAGATACAATCTCAAAGCCCACATCGATACTATACATAATGGCACCAAACATACATGTGATGTATGCGGAAAGTCATTTAAACAGAAGAAAAATCTTAAAATTCACGTCGATACGGTGCACAATGGCACCAAACATATATGTGACATATGCGGCAAGACATTTTCACAAAGATCCAATCTCAAAACCCACATCGATAGAATACATAATGGTATCAAACATACATGTGATATTTGTGGAAAACAATTTACAAGTAAGCAGTATGTTGAAGTTCACATCGATTCTGTGCACAATAATGGCACCAAACACACATGTGCTATTTGTGGCAAGACATTTTCACAAAGATGCAATCTCAAAACACACATCGATACAATACATAATGGCACGAAACATACATGTGATGTATGCGGAAAGTCATTTAAACAGAAGAAAAATCTTAAAATTCACGTCGATTCATTGCATACTGGTATCAAGCATAAATGTGATATTTGCGGAAGACAATTTTCAAGTAAGAATTATCTTGAAGTTCACATCGATACTGTGCACAATGGTATCAAACATACATGTGCTGTTTGTGGGAAACAATTTTCAAGTAAGAATTATCTCGAATGTCACATCGATACGGTGCATAATGGCACCAAACATACATGTGACATATGCGGCAAGACATTTTCACAAAGATCCAATCTCAAAACACACATCGGTACAATACATATTGGCACCAAACATACATGTGATGTATGCGGAAAGTCATTTAAACAGAAGAAAAATCTTAAAATTCACGTCGATTCATTGCATACTGGTATCAAGCATAAATGTGATATTTGTGGAAGACAATTTTCAAGTAAGAATTATCTTGAAGTTCACATCGATACTGTGCACAATGGTATCAAACATACATGTGACGTATGCGGAAAGAAATTCTCAGGGAAAAGTTATCTCAAAACCCATATCGAGACGGTGCATTGTAAAATCACGCACACATGCGATACATGCGGAAGAACATTTTCAAAAAAGTTTAATCTGAAAGCCCACATCGATAAGATACATAACTCACTCATTAAAACTAAATGAAGGTATAAAATTTAATGTATATGTTCGGAAGTTCCACCAATTTTATGTCACGTTAAAGTTCTAAATAAATCAATAAAGTTTTGGAAAAAAAAATGAAACAAATTCTTAATTTTAAGCTAATGAAATGTCTAATTTTATAATGCTGAGTACTTATTGTTTTTTGACTCATTATCATTTATGGAAACTGAATCGTTTTAAAATTGCTCTCATACTCGGAATATGCATTTTTCATAACAGGATTTCTGAGTACATCTCATGGCTACGATAGAAATACAGTAATTTTTTTCTCAGGTATATTTGTGACATTCTTCGTGTAACATTCTCCAAAAATTTCAAAATAAATTCAAAAAAACATTTAAAGTAATTTTTTTGAACTCTAAGTTCGAATAGTTATCCAATGTCCCAAAGCCAAAGAGTCGGAGAGCAGTTTCGAATGATTTCGTCTAGGTTAAACACAGAATAGGTCGTCAAATATAGCTGTAGAAAATGTATCTGTAATCCAATATGCCATTGTTCGCGCATTTTTCGATACTTCAGGGACCACGATGAACAAATTATCAACGTGTACGCGACGAACGTTTTAATAGGGATTTTCGCCTCTAATTCCAGGCATATTTTTCTGTATAGAATTGATCAAATAATTATCGATAAAGAAGCGTAACCACAGCGATGATCGGAACTTTTTACAACGCACTCGTTACCCGATTGATTGCGCACGCCTTACAGTTTTGAGCTTTTTTTTTAGAGATCCGTCGTTTTATTACTCGATGAAAGTATCGAATAAAGCTCAGAATGGCTACGATCAATCTCGATAGTTTTTTTTTTACTGCTTATTCAGAGCTATTATATCGAGATAATAATGTTAATGGTCTGGACGAGATCGTGATAGGGTTGAGCGAGCGACGCGAGGATTCTTTGTCCGACTCTTCAAAACTTTATGTCGTTGCGTTCAAACTTCAATACTGTATAATTCATTTATATGCTGTTTATTTTCAGTCCACTTATTGACATAATAAAAAATACTTCATTAATCTGCAAACCTGATTATACTCTTTAACAGAGACATTTTTTTTTCCTCTAATACTCACTCGAGAAAAAGATTCACCGACCCTCTAAAAAATCGCTTACTCCGCGAAATTTAAAGTCAATGGCTACAGCCGATATTGCACGTACTCGACCGTAATCTAGCGCCCGAGCTATTATTATACATTATCACAGTATCCCACGGCATGGTATATAGGGTCATTATTATAATAGAAAAAAGGAGAGAGAATCGTTGATCGGTTTTGGAAAATGAAGCACTTACGTATATAATACAGCTCCTACATATCATGCAGACTCTCGCCGCTCGATCTCTTCATTATTATATAAGTTAACCGTATATATAATAAATTTTCCGGGCCATTATCGATCTCTCGGATTTTACGAGGGCCCCGCGAGCTCTCTTTTTCATTCGTGATCACCGGCAGACACGTATACATGTACATTAGGGTGGTTCGCTTTTGCAAAAATATTCAAAATCGCGTATACGTCATGGCGATTCCGAAAGTTCAAGTCTTTACGAAAAGAAAGCCGGGTTCAGAACCTAAAAAAAGTGTCGGGAACCGGTGTCGATCGATTTTTGAAGTTTAAAAACGTGGTCCAAAATAGGAGCAAAATCGGTCAACCATTCAATTTATTTCAAACTGTGTTTCGAGAGTAAAAATAATATCGACAATACATTTTCTTACGTATTTTTGTCTGTAGAATCGAATGCCGTAGTCAGTTTTGCTCTACGACTTCGTTTTCATCGATAAAAATGTACTTTTTTGATTTTTTTTTCGCTTAAAAATCCAAAAATCGACTTTGCAACGTTTAAAAATGAACAGAAAAAATCTTCGAAAATTTTTGACACTACCAAAATTTAGGATTTTTTGTGACGAATCCAACCGTATAAATTAGTATATGCTTTAAAATTATTTTCATTCATAAAAATGCAAATTTTCGATTTTTTTTGGCTGAATTTGACGAAAAATCTCGAAAACGCGCCCTTTTTGAGAGAAAGTGCTCTTAAAAAATCCCGCTGCAACATTTTTTTTGTATTTTTTGCTGTAAAATTGAATGACGTTGTGATTTTGGTCCTAAAACATCGTTTTAGAAAAAAACGATTTTTTTTCGAAAACATCTCGTTTTCGAGATTTTTCGTCAAATTCAGCCAAAAAAAATCGAAAATTTGCATTTTTATGAATGAAAATAATTTTAAAGCATATACTAATTTATACGGTTGGATTCGTCACAAAAAATCCTAAATTTTGGTAGTGTCAAAAATTTTCGAAGATTTTTTCTGTTCATTTTTAAACGTTGCAAAGTCGATTTTTGGATTTTTAAGCGAAAAAAAAATCAAAAAAGTACATTTTTATCGATGAAAACGAAGTCGTAGAGCAAAACTGACTACGGCATTCGATTCTACAGACAAAAATACGTAAGAAAATGTATTGTCGATATTATTTTTACTCTCGAAACAGAGTTTGAAATAAATTGAATGGTTGACCGATTTTGCTCCTTTTTTGGACCACGTTTTTAAACTTCAAAAATCGATCGACACCGGTTCCCGACACTTTTTTTAGGTTCTGAACCCGGCTTTCTTTTCGTAAAGACTTGAACTTTCAGAATCGCCATGACGTATACGCGATTTCGAACATTTTTGCAAAAGCGAACCACCCTAATGTACATGCGCGACTTTCGGGTGTACGATCGCGTATTATTATGCGCGCGTGAGATTTTCGACACGTTTATAACAAAGTATTATAATACTCGTTATACTGACGCAGCCGGGCATATCATTCACAATAACGACGACGATGACGACGCGATGTGTCGAATGTCATTATATTAAAACTTGCGAAAATGAAAAATTCGCAGCTCGCGGAGTTGACGATATAATTAGCACATCGGACATTGTAAAGTATAATACGTACATCGATCATGCGCGTAAATATATTTTCGTGCGCGGAATCGTTAATGAGCCGCGAGGTAATCGTCGTATAGTCGTCAAGGCCACCCGAGGCTTAAGATTAATTAAGCCGTACAATATATAAAATAGCTCCTCGACTCGCACACACACACACGCGCTTGAGATAGACATATGATCGATCGGATCTGCAAGTGGTACCGCTGCACTGCGTACGGAATCGTATCAAGGGCGCGGCGGCGGCGGCCGCGGCGACCGGCGCTACGTATTATGAGAGAAAAAAAACAATCGGGAATCGGTACGCGTTTGGAATGCGAAGAAAAGAAGAAAAAAAAATGAAGTAATGCACTGGTTATATCGAATACCTTCGATATATAAAATACAGCAGGGCAAGGACGAATACGTATTGCGAACGCCGATCGCCAATCTCGCGCATTCTTTTCCAAAGAGTTTTGGAAAATATTCGCTCACTCACCGTCTAGAGACCAAGATGGCAAGCTTCAAACGGAGAAATGGAATAGCTGATTATGGAATTTTTCAATTTTTCACGAGCCAAGTTCGAAATTTTAATATTGCAGTAGTGTACTTAATTTTAGATAGGTATTTCAAAGACTTTGATTTGATTAACAGATGAAAATTTCGGGTAAGATTGAGATATAATTCGTGGGTTTCTATAGAGGGTCCATGTAAGCTTCAAATGGGGTGAGACTTCGGTGGTATTTTTAAAGTTTCGTTCACGTCGTCACGAATAATTTTTGAAAGATCTTTTATTGATACATTTGAGCGTTTTAGCAACTTGTATTTATTAAATGATTTTTAGTGGGAGTTTTTATCTCTTAGCTTTTAAATATTTCATTGGATAGATGCATTTTTGACGAGTTTTATCGGAGAAGTAGAAAACGAAATTTTCTCCTGCAAAGCATGAAAGCTTCTCATAAAAGCTTACAAGAGAGCGACTCAGGAAAGCTCTCAAGCCATAAACTAATGATCCAAAAATATGGAGCAAAAAATTTCGCAATTAGAAAAATAGTTATCATTCTAAATTTTCGTGTCAATTTTTTAAGAACTCATATAGAATAAAAAGCAAATACTATACTATTTCTTTTACACATCCGAAATATGTTTTTTTTTCTATCTATTTGTTTCTAAGCGTACATTATCAACGACCAGCCCGTGTCGTATCTTGTACATTGTAATCGAATCTTCTGCATTTCATGGCTTTTACTCGTCGCTCAAAATTCGCACTCGGTTGTAGTTCGTACCGGTTGAAAAGCAACCGTAAAATCGATTTGATCCTCCGATTGGCTTTTAACAATACAAGAAAATGATGCAATGACCTATTGCCACTTCAAGATTATCGAAATTCTCATTAAATATCAATAATTAGGAATCTTGAAAAATATCCTCTGTTAATAAACACACTTGACAAATACAAATCATGATAATTTTGGGATATTCGAGTAGCGAAAATCACTTTGCGATATAAATAGACAAATTATCAGATCTCACGTGACAATTTGAGTTGTATTGTCAAATATAAATAGCTCGTTTCAAACGCAGCGGATCTGGGCATCAAAGTAGAGTGTCAGTTTGACAGTGTTTTACAGTAGCGCTCGCGAAATGAGTAATTTCAAAGTTCACTCGCTCTTCTAGCTGCCGTTGATTATTCAATTGGGGTCGACCGAAGTTCGAGGGAGAACAGCATCTACTTTAGCGAATAAAATTGTGAAAAAGCGATGATGCTATGTCCAACATCAACGAAGTTCGAAAAAGCTGTCTCTCTTTCGTCGTCGTGCAGTGCGTCGCGCGTGAAAGATAAATGCAATCGTCCCATATATATATCGTGCGTGCGGTTGTACAGTCGCGTGCGCGCCACACGATATATATACGTTCATTAATCGCCGAGCGAAGATCGCGATCCTTCATTAACAACGCACAATTGTACATCTCTCGCGCGCGAGATATTGTCAAGCCGATCTAATTACATATACGGATATCTTTGTTCGATATTATCTCGAGCTGGGAGGGGAGATAAAATGAAAGGGGGTGA